GTCCTCTCGCTTTGTCCATTCCTTGATCTACGAAAGGTATTCAGTATTAGGATCAGAGGCCTATGGGATTTCAGTAGCCTTTAATCAATTACAAACTCATCACTCTTCTTGAAGGTTAACTTCACATCTTGTGTGTGTTCCCTTGATGTATCTTAAGACCCATTTCACAGCCTGCCAATGACTCCTCAATGGCTTACTCATATATCTGCTAATCACTCCTACTGGATAAGGGTAATCTGGTCTTGTACCAATCATTGCGTACATCACACTTCCAACAGCACTTGAATATGGGAGTGATTTCATATAGTCCATTTGTTCCTGCAGTTCTTCTTCTGTAGCTGTTTGGAATCTGAAGTGAACTCCCAAAGGAGGTAGGAAAGGTTTGGCACAACGCTCATAGGACTATCGGTGTGCGGAGTTCATCTCTTGGTTAGCAAGGAAAGATTCTTCAACCAGACATTGTTGGGAAATTTACCCAATATTCTTTCGTGTGATGAAGATGGGAATTAGACAATAGGAATGCAAGAAAACTCTTTTTATATTAGGAAAGGGAATCGACAACACCTAGGTCGTCTGACCAGTTCTCCTCCACTTTGTTGAGATCTTTCAGAACTTCTCGGATCCAACGATGTCGTATATCGATTGAGCGGGAGTGCAAGGTCGAATTCTTTGCTAAGTGAATAGCGCTCTGGTTATCACATAGATATATTTATCTTGCTTTACTCCCAACTCAAGCAAGAAGTTCTTCATCCACAACATCTCCTTGCAAGCTTCTGTGGCAGCAATTCTGCTTCAGTCGTGGACAAAGCTGTAGTTTTGATTGCCAGGAAACAGCTCCTCCTGCAAAGGTAGTTATATACCCTGAAGTTTATTTCCTAGAATCTTTGTCGTCGGCAGCACACCACATCGGTATAGCCCATCAGCTCAAGCTTCTCATTACCAAAGCATAGACAACTTTTACGTAAATAGTGGAGGATCCATTTGCAGTCTGGATTGGCTAGAAAGCGACTCACAACTGCATAGGCGATATCTGGCCTTGTACACACCACGGCATACAGAAGACTGCCTACTGCAGATGCATATGGGGTAGTCTTCATTTCCTCCTTCTCATTTGTTGGACTTTGTTCCGAGCTTAATTTGAAATGTCCAGCAAGTAGGCTTTGCCTTGTGTATATTGAATCTCTCCACCCAACAGATCGTTCTTAGGATAACAGGTTTCTCGATCTATCACGAGTGATCTTCATCCCAATGTTTTGCTGGCCCCACTTTCATGGCAAAGCACTTGTTCAAATCTTTCTTTAGAGCGGTTATCTTGGTGCGGTCATGGCCCACAATCAATCATCGACATATAGCAAAAGTATGAGAAAGTCGCCGCTAACGTACCTCTTTATGAAGGCACAATGGTCATTCATGGTTTTCTTGAAGTATCCGCCATAAAGGAGTTCCTTGTACCATTGTCTTGGGGCAGCACATTGCTAAAAAAGAGTCCACACCAAGTTCTCCTTGTCTGCGACCTTAAGTCCTTCAGGTTGCTCCATATATATATATCCTCTTCTAGATCACCGTGGTGTGCTAGGAATGCCGTCTTGACATCGAGTTGTTCAATCTCTAAGTATAGAGCAGCTGCTAAACCAAGAACAACTCGGATGGAGAACATCTTTACTACTGCTTCGCTACCTCCGTCAAACCCTCGTAAAAGACCTCCGTCAGAGGAGGTTGCTAGCGCTAGGGGGTTACTTCGTTGGCGCAGCACTTCTGGTTAAGCACCACTAAAGGGCCTCTCTGATAGATAATCTTGCTTGGGTGTGATCCACTGAAAAAGAAGAAGATTGAGTTGCATTCTTGCGATTTAATGCTTTGATCCATATAAGCCCATTAACAAGCAGTGTGCTTTGTTTTTTAAAGAAGCAAGCTAGAGGAGAGGGGGCTTTTGGGATAATTATGATACTGAGCCCAATGGAAAAGCCTCCGAGTCCAAAATGGAATGGAATTACTGGGGAAACGAATCCAAGAAAGCCCAAAAACAAAAGTGGTCGTGGAGAAGGGGACTTATTGTACTGAAAAAGTTATTGCTAGTGCTCATTTACTCTATACGCGTCTTAGTGGACTGACAGAGTGAGCTGGAAAGGTTCCGTCTTTCCGGGGAAATTCAAGAGAGCTAGCTTCGGTCTTAGCTCACCTAAGAAAGGACGGAGCTGTCGAGTAAGGATTGGCCGAAGTCAGTTATGTACCTGGGAATCAGCCAATAAAAAATAGACAAATAAAAGCGTGATCTGAGTAGGCAGAGCTAAATAGTGCACGTAGGGTAAACGAGGACTCTGGTCAGCTTTGAGCTGTCGAGTAAGGAGTGACGGGCCTTTGGAAACCCGAGAAAAGCGGGGGAGTACTCTATACAGTGCGTTCTATTATTGCCTCTTATTCCCGAGGGAGTGGTCGTAATTAAGCCGCGTGGCAATACCCGCCAAAAACAAAGGACTCTTTGATTTTTAGGGGCGGGGCCTTTATCCAGGGGATAATTATTAAGCGTACTTAATTATTCAGCGTACTAAATTTAAGGTTGTTCCATCTTTTTTTCCGGGAATCGTGTTACGTAAGAATACTAATTAAGTTAAGATAATAATACTAATAATAAAGGGCTGCTTCGCTAGGGCCTATAAATAGAAGCTTCTCTCTATTTGACAAAGTAGAAGTCGGAAAGAAAGTTAAGAGAGATGGATGATATGGAGATCTATAACAGACTGGCGATCCTTCCACAAGAAATCCAAGCCGCGGAAAACGAAAAGCTCCAATGTGAGCAAATGCTTGGGTTGTTCTGGGAGCACCCGCCTGCTCTCGATCCAGAGGTCGTAGGCAGGCGGATGCAACTTTTACGGAACCGCATTCGCGATCTGGAACACAGGATTTCTGGTCTCCTGCAGGAGCAGAACTTCCTAATTGTGTGTGCTATCGAACACGGTCGCCAGCGCCACTAGAACCACTCTCTTCTAATATTTAAATAAGGAGTCCGTCGACCCAAATGCATGGCTTTCTTTGTTCTCTTTTTTTCTATTTCTATGGTTCACGTACTATGTTATTAGTGAACTTTGTATTGTGTGGGGGTCTACGGTGTGTGTAGGCTTCCTATTTTATGTATGCTTGTAATGCTTCTGCTTTGTAAAATATTCCTTTTATTTAATATCCGGTCTTCATCTTCCTTAGATTAGATGCTACTTCCTTCGTCTAACGCACTGCCCCACAGATAATCAAAGTCTGTAATAGCGGACGATTCTATCAAACCCTAAAGTAGAAGAAAAAGTAGAAGAAAACCTACGAAACCATAAAGCTTCCCTCCTGTTTGGTAACAAACAGAAAGATACCATTGATATCATTGGACACTAAAGGGTAAAACTTTGCTTTGTGCTGTTCACATAGTCGACTGGGAAGTATACCGGAAAATCTCATTAATCTTAGTATGGAAGAGTTTTCTTTTTACGAAGCGAGAGGAAAAGAGTCACCGGCAAAGTCTTAACTAAACCCTGAAAGCCTCAATCTTCACTTCCTTCAAGGCCTTCTCATTAGTAGGGGCCGATCTGACTCCATATTGCTCAACGTGTCGCTAAGCAGAATCTCACTTCTTTCCATCCGCTAATGGACCTATGCTCGACCATCAACTCTGACATCCATAAGTAGATTAGGAGGCATCTTCTCTTTCCTTGTACGTTCCAGCTCGCTTCGTCTGCTTCAGGAAGAAGGTATAAAGTGTATCTACCTTCAACAGCACATCACTACATACCAACATTAGCCCTAACATCTCGTTAAGCCACCCACACCGAGATCGACAGTCAAAGGAAGAAGGAGATATTTCCGGTTACAACTCAAAACGACACTGTTTCACTAAATGAACCAAAACTGGGCCAACACAAGGCTCAGCTCTCCTATGACTACAAGACATAAGCCCAAGACGAGTTTTGTCTACAAACCGAAGCCCAAAGTCTCCTCTGTCTTATTTATCACTTAAAACAAAACCAGAGCTGAAGCCATGAACGTACAGCGACGTCATTCTCTGCCACAGTACAGCGGCTCAAATCCCACTTCTAACCGTTACCATACGCTCCAAGCTTTAGAGATCTGCTAAGATGAAGACACGTAGCATTAGAGAAGGCTTCACCTCAAATTTTGTATTAAAAACAGGGAAACAATTATTAAGAGATGTTAAGCCGAAATGAAAGAATAAATTCATAATCTTTCCTCATTGAGCATTTATTACCTTTGCTTACAAAGGGAAGACCCTCTTCAAAGAGAGTGCAATGACTTTCTGGTGAGACTTTCCGTTTCACAGTTCCTGAATCAACAAAGTTTTCCTTTTCTCTTCGATTTGTTGAGTCTCGGATCACTTTTCTTCCTCAACAATGGCGAAACGGAACTAGAAATCGAGAAAGAAGAGATCGGCATCACCACCAGTTTCACCTGAGCATACTCCGCTCTGGAAGTAACCTTACCTAGTGGATCAAGGTTTTCTACAGCTCAGATCCTCCCCAGCACACTCCAATGGTTTGTGTTGCCGATCGCAGCTTCGTTGTCTCAGATTCACCAGATAATGTTTCTAGCCCTTATTATCTTCGGTGATCATCCGGGTCTGGCTCAACTCTTAATGGATCTAACTATGCTGGACTTTGTATATGTTGACTGAAGCGCTCTTTTATTGATGGTAGTCTGCCTCGTCCTAGCCTAGATGATCTTATTATAAGTTATAAGATCTGGGTAAGGTGTAAGAGTATGGCGAAATCCTGGATTATGAATACTAGAGATATCTCGATCTTATATATGCAAGATACGGCAACGGAAGAAATTAAGGAAAAAAGGTTCTAGCTCTCAAGTTCCAGTCTGAGCTACTGAATGATCCAAAATGAAAAGAAAGATTTTTAGCTTTAACCAAAGAATAGACGAAAAAAGAGGTCCGAAGGTGCTTTAGCAACGAGACTGATACCTCCGTCAAACCTACGTCGGGGAGGAAGCAGCAAATCACTTGAGGGAGATCCTTCTTCAGCCACTAGGTCAGGTGCAGAAGTCTAAGTGGAGTACCGGCAATTCGTTTTCAAACGTAGGAAAGGTGCTGTCCAGCACACTGCTTTTCTTTTTACCTTTATTCCTAAGAGCAAAAGAAGGTAAACGACAAATCACACTCCTATGCTTTGCTTGCATTAATTCTTGGAATTGCTGGGGTGGCATGACCAGAGTAATCTATGCCCTCGCTCTACTGCTTATGTTCAGATTCCTAAGCTGGCAGAATTCTATCCTGAAAATTGCTTCACCAGGAAGTAAAGTTCTTTCCGTTCCTGCTTTTTCTTCGAGTTGAAGGAGCCTTTGGTTTCACCGTTTTACGCTTTGAACCTGGACCTGCTTTCTTTCTTCAGCACAAGCGCACACTCCCAGCGAAGTAGCCCCCGCAGCCTCCCGCAGCCCCGTAGCCTCCCGCAGCCTCCTTTGACGGAGGTTTGACGGAGGTGGCGAAGCAACCCTAGCGAAGCAACCTACTTTGACGTAGGTCTTTGACGAGGGGCTTTGACGCGGGTTTGACGGAGGTGACGAAGTAACCCCTTGAGGGTGTGGGCTTGAGTAAAGCAGCAAATTTGTTTCACTAGCAAAGCAATTGTCCGAATGAAGCGTCTCATCTTTATCACAAATGCTACGAATCCAGAGACTTCCTCTGCATCATCATCCTCGTCTGTTTCGCTCTCGCTCCAAGCAAACCAATAAGGGAGTATTCACACATTCAGCTTTTGTGTGCCCCTAGCGAAGCAACCTTTGCATTAAAAACATTTGAAGTCTCTTCTCTAAAAAAGGGCAGTGCTCAGCTTTGCCATATCCCTACACTGTTGTTCTCCCTTCTTTGACACACGATCACGATTTGTTGTTGTGTTCTGTGTAAAAGGGTTTTTCCTACTTTGTCCATTCTTCTTTACTACTTTGCCAAAGTTTCTAGCAAGCAGTGTGCTGCCGATTGAATCTTCAATATCTCTCTTGTTGTCTTAGTGTGTGCTGCAGCAATGCTTTTTCTCGGACTTCTCAGTCTCCATTTCATACGCTTGTAGGTGACCTACAACAACATCAAACGCAAGGGTATCTGTGTCATTCATGGCTTGCGAAGGGCTGCTTCGCCGGGAGTGTGCTACAGAACAGAAGCTTTTTGACTTTTGTCTTTGTCTTTCATTTTGAGCAGCATTGGCAAAGCACAGATGAATTGTTCAATGGTCTCTCTTTCCTCCGTGAAGCCAGCAGCATATCAATACGAGATCTCTTTACACTTGTCAACCCTTCTGTAGGATATCCCAAGCATCTTTGGCTGATTCACCCTTGAATGTGTCACTTGCGATTGCTGACAGTGCTTTGCTGTTATACTTTCGACTTCTTCTTCTCAGCGTCTGTCCATTTATCACTATCCTTTTCTTGCCCTGCCGCTTCTACTCCTTTCACCCTTTCTCCACAGCATACCATGCGTCTTCATAAATCCCTCGGTGCATCTTCACCTTCTTTTATAGTTCCCTTTCTCAGATTGGTCGATGCACAGCAATCAATTCCTTAGATTCCCGCAGTGTGCTGATCCTCACCTGTTGTAAGTAGTCTTGGTATTTGGTCGGTAAGTAAAGGTACGGAAAGAGAGGGATTCGAACCCTCGGTAAACAAAAGCCTACATAGCAGTTCCAATGCTACGCCTTAAACCACTCGGCCATCTCTCCTACATTATGACCCAGAAACCTCGAGTGAATAGCGAGTCATTTATATTCTTGCAGTAAAGGTACAACCACAAACAATCTATTAAAAATGGAAAACCTTTTAGTCAAAGAAAGATCTTCCTTCGAAGAAAAAAACAATAAGAATTGTTACCATTAAAAAAACAAAAGCACTCTTTCTATTCATCTTTGTCAAGACGACGATCCCGTTATATTATTATATTTATACCGGATTTTGCCAATGAATTGGAACGCGAATCAACTACTCCCTTCATGGTCACATAGTCATTACAGAATTTTTTTTCAGGTATATATGTCTTTCTTAATTTCATATTGGTAGTACCTATTTTTCTATATAAATTCTTTGTGGTTTTTACCGCCCGCCGGTTCGCTTATCGCCTTTTTTTTCCTCCGTTCACTTTCTCCTTTATCTTCTTCCTACCTTGCGGGGGTGACTTAGGCGCTAGGGTTAATACCATATTAGATCGAATAACTCCTTACCTTTTTTCAAGAGAAGCCTGATTCTAGTCAGGATTGAAAAGATAATGACGAACCTTAAATGAAAGGTTGGTCCAATCTGAGTGCTTATTGCCTTCTTCTTCGCCTCTCCTCTTCCGCCCGAGCTGATCCGAATTCTCCTCTTAGTATAGGATTGTTAATAACTTGACTTAATGGTTATAGTCTAAAGGTAGTTCTATATTTTTTGTCTTTCTTTATCAGAGGTTTTTTCCTTAGGCCTTGGGGGGGCGGGGCCTCTTTTTTGATTTTTTAATAAAAAAAAGGGGGAGAGGGACCCTTTTTGATTTTTTAATAAAAAAAGGGGGAGAGGGACCCTTTTTGATTTTTGAAGTACAGCCCTACTCTATAGTGGAGTTATCTTTTCCCTATCTAAGCTATATCAACATAGCAAACTAGAAAACTTATCCGCTTGTCAATTCTTGGTGTAATATGTAAATGATTGGTGTCAGAATTTTTCACCAATCAGGTGTGATCAGTCTCATCCATGTAAGAATTAGGAATTTCTTTTCCAACTCGTCCCAGAATGGGCGTTATGGCAAAGAACAAGAAAAAAACTAAAGGAGAAATTTGTCCAATAGTAACAAATGGTGCCTCCACAGGTTGACATCCGATCCAACCTAGTAGTAAGCAATCTGCCAAAAGCAACCAAAAGATTCCTTGGTGAATCGGACGAAAACTTGAACTACGCACATACATACTTTTAAAAAAAGGTAAAGCCAACAGACATATAAAAACAGGTGCTATTGCGGCTACACCTCCCGATTTGTCAGGTATACTACGAAGAATGGCATGGATCGGCAGGAAATACCATTCCGGCACAATATGAGGCGGGGTGGGCATCGGATTAGCAGGTATATAATTGTCGGGATGCCCCAAAACATTAGGAGCATAAAAAATCCAAATGGAAAAAAAGATAGCAAAAGCTACCCAACCTACTAGATCCTTTACAACAAAATAAGGGTAAAAAGAAATTTTATCCATCTCTGAATGTACACCCAATGGATTATTTGATCCATATTGATGCAATGCAGCCAGATGAAGAAGACTGGCCCCTACTAAAATAAAGGGGAGTAAATGATGAAGACTAAAAAAACGATTTAAGGTGGCATTGTCCACGGAGAAACCACCCCAAAGCCAAGTCACTATGGTATCCCCTACTACAGGTATGGCGCTAGCTAAGCTTGTAATTACTGTAGCTCCCCAAAAGCTCATCTGACCCCAAGGTAGTACGTATCCTATAAAAGCTGTCACAATCATTAATAGGAAGATTACAACTCCGAGACACCGAACAAATTCCCTAGGACTGCTATAACTCGCATGATATAGACCGCGAAAAATATGAAGGTGAACCACAATGAAAAACATACTTGCCCCATTAGCATGCATATAACGGAGCAACCAGCCCCCTTCAACATCTCTCATAATGTGTTCTACGCTGTTGAAAGCTAGATCCACATGAGGTGTGTAATGCATAGCTAAAAAAACGCCAGTCACTATCTGAATGACTAAACAAATACCAGCTAACGAACCGAACCCCCACCAATAACTAAGATTGCTCGGGGTTGGATAATCTATCAAATGCTGATTAAGTGTGGAGGATATAGGTTGTTTAAGAAGGGAGAATCGTTGGTTCCTTATAGTCATTTCTTTTTTTCCTATCCTATCGTGACAACTCTTCTTCCCCCACATTTTTAGCGTTCTGGTGGGGCCCATTGCGCAGCTTTAGAAAGGAGAGAATTTAAGTTTGTAACTCTCTCCAACCTTTTCTATCTATCCTTAGAAGTAGGGCGAGAGAAAGTAAATATGATGTCGGTTTTTCCAACTATGCACTTATTTGTCTTTATCATTCGGAAGTATCAGTCCCACACTCTGACTTCAATGATGGAAACAACTTCAGCACTCCGGCGCTCCAATGAACAACAGTTCTCCGCCTTACTCTATTTAGAATAGTAGTAGATCCCTCGGGAATTACATTCGTAACTTAATGTTCACGCGGTGATTTAAAAAGTACTACCCTGTACGTACTCTATGTCTGGGGAGCATACTTGACAGGAGATAGACACAGGCGGTAGAGAGGTCCCCCACTTCGATTCCCGCTCCGTTAGCATCTCCGATCTGAGATAAGGGATTACTCCGTTAGGTCTTTTCAGTCCCGAGCCGGCCGGTAATGGACCTACTTACCTTGCTTGTAGACCAGCTGCAGAGCTAACCCTTGTTCTATTGGTTTGGTGGTTGCTACCAAGACGATTTTTTTATGCCCATCAAAGGACCTCGAGATGCTAATCCAAGAAAAACGATACGAGAAATTCGAAAGAACTCATCTACTCCACGAGGGCGACCCGTGAAAATACATCGGTTTCTTACTCGTGCAAAGGAACTCTTTCTTGGCAACTTTGACAACTTATAACGATGTTTGTCCCGCATATCACTAGAAAGATCGGGATCCTTACAAAAGGCTTTAGATTGCTTTCGTCTCAATTCATATTTAGCCGCGAGCAATCCACGTTTGTGATCTCGTATATCTCGCTTCTCCGACATCTTACTTACTTTCCCCCTCATCTTTTTGCAAAAAGCCGCTCCACGGTGGTAAAGTCTCATCTTGTGTGTTGGCCGAAGTTACAATAGTCACATTGAACCCTCGAATATGTTCGAGGATCTCGAAATGATCTTCCAGCTCTGGGGAGAATTCGCAAAACTCCGTTTCTATCGAGAATTGAATGGAGTTTTCCCGTATTTCGACGGGAGAATCTAAGAGAGACATTACTGTCGAGATTCTGACCGAAAAATTAGACATTCTATGCCCTCGGAGAGTGCTTTGTCGTGCTAGGTCACTGACATATCCTTTTTTGTCTTTATTTGACCCCAAGAATGGATTGGATCGAAACGGCTTTCCTGTCGAACCCCTTTGTGTCTGTATGAATTTCTGACCGCACGGAATCTCCATAGCCAATTTTCCATTTTTTATGATGAAATCAGAAGGTGCCTTTGGTACTACTCTTATTTTACACAATCCAGAAACTTCCATAACGTTGGTGTGATTCGGTTTGAGCAACGGATCTTGACGTGATACATCTTCGTAATGAAAATAGAGTGGAAACATGAGTTGGCTTTTACAGTATCTATAGAATAAGCTGACTCCTCCTACTCCTCCTTTCCGAAAAGATCATCCTTGGTCCTTTTGACATAAAAGGTTCCGCCTTTTTGTCTTTATTTTCATCTTTCTTTATATTACGAAATATCTCTTTTCTCTTTCTTTTTTCTTCGATTTGACGCCCCCCTCTACTCTATAAAGAGAAAGACTGCCGACTTCGCCAGCCTCGCTCCGTACCGATTTCCTCCTGCTTCGTGCGCCAGCCCGAACTGATCCGATGATGGTAAGAAGACTGACTCCATCTGTCTCTGAGATCCGAGAATAACGTATGAAAAAGATATCCGGAAATCTATTCGCATTTCCGGGAATATTAACGTAAGACCTTTTGCCCTGGGTTTCCACGAATATTAATGATTTTCATTCTCTTCCGGAAAGAGACTCCCCTGGCTATGTTTACGAGTTGACTAGCTCAAATAGCTGGACTGCCATAAAATAACCTTTCTTTTTTCCCATGGTACTCGCCGCCTACTATACTGAAACTCCTGGATCCGCAAACGGAGCCAATCATTCTAACGAATCTAGAAGAATATGCTCAAGGGTCTCTCTTTTGCTGATTGAAGAAGGTAGCTTGCTTACTTTAACTTGGTAAGCAAGTTGGGTCGATATTCTTAGCCGAGCATCCCCCTCATGTTTTTACTGAGGTGCACTCGATCTATTTAAAGTAATTCTCACTTCACTTGTCCCTCGGAGGGGGGGAAGAGGCGAAGAAAAGAAAGAAGCGCTCTAGCTCTCACTTGAAGTACTGGAATGAAAAAGGCTCGGTCAACGGGATAAAAGATGCTCTTATTTCGCCAAGTCCATAAGGCATATAAAAATAGGATTGACCACACCAGCCAGATTTCATGCAACTGTGGCTTCTCATGAATGTTTTCATTTTCGCGAAGGGGGGATTGTTGCCAAAGTCTAGGTCTTTGGTTCCGTCCTGACAGCGTGAGGAAATGATTCTGACAGCGGCAAATGGCTGAAAACTGGCTATTTTGAAGGTTTGAGGCAAAAAGGCTTATCCATTCCAGAAAGAGTAGTGGCACAAACTCAACAGCGATGACAAGTAAAGTCAGAATGAGAAGAAAAAGGCGGTCGACCACAAGCCGACCATTAGTCAAGAGGGACCGAAACTAAAGTAATTCATTTTTTTCATCTCAACTCCCCAGGTGACCACCTTAGCATTTTCAGTCTTGTCGAGGAAGGTCCCTGGCGGATACTTTAGATAGGCAAACTAACAAAATTCATTAAGGTGGGGTACTCGAAAAAGAGCAGCCCCGCTTACAGATTTGTTGAAAAGGGACCACAAGTGGCCCTGGTCTGAGACGTGCCAAGCAGTTTTCGTTACCAACCCAAGAGCAGAAGCAGGTGCAGCAACCAAGGAAGCAGCAATGAATGGGTTCAGCTCCTGTACCAAGAGAAGAGGGGAGAAAAGGATTCACCTTCCCCTTTCTTACATGAACCAAAAGGAAGGGGCTTATTGACCTAACTGAGAAGGAGACAGAAAGGGATCACCTGACCTTATCTTGAGTGAGAGAGGCGTTCGTTAATCTTTTTTTTATCCGGAATTTTTCCTTCTTTTTTCGTTCAATTGGTGGAAATCAAGACAAAAAACCGGGCACACGATGGCTGGATCATCCCCTAGTGAACCGGGATTAGGTAGGTGGAATAGTGCAACTAGGGCGGGAGGCTAGTAAGACCTATGAGAGGCATTTGGCGCGAGTTAGAGTGACGATCATGCTTTTGAGAGTGAATGTCCCGCATAAGTGGAAGTGGTTGGAACGGTTTCCTATTCCTATCGAGCAGCTGAGCCAGTGAGAGCAGTCGAATCAGTCTAGTCCTTCTTGGTTTCATCATCGGAAATCGCAAGATTGGGTCGAGTGGCAAGTCAACTTGGTGCTGTCAAGGCGGTTGAGAAGTCTCGTAACGGAATGGCTAGAAAGAGAAGGGCTCTTTTCTCTTCGCGATGAATCAATCTTTTTTCCTTCAAAAAACTGGACTTTAGATCATCTTGTGACCTCTACTTATGCCGCACGTAAGGCATAAAGATGGCAAGGATTCTGAAACCTTTGCCAGAACCCTTCCCCTGTCACTTCTATAAAGATCCCCGGCGTGAGATTGCAAGTCGATCTCCACACAAAGCCTTGCGGAGGACCTCTTTCTTAGCTTAGCTGTATGCTCATCCAATTTCCCACCGCCGCTCGAGGATAAAAAGAATAACATGAATAGACAGTGGACGTCTTTGCGTGCTTTGCTTAATCTGGTTTGGTTGAGAAGTAAGGTAGGACAGAGCCGCCGTTTGAGCCCAAACTATAGAGGTCGTTTCAGTGGGTGTCCAGTGAATAGAAAAATACCTTTACCAGGAACAGACCGCCTTTTCTTTTAGACGACCGAGAAGAAGAAGCCAAGATTACTCTCGAATAAAGAAGGAAAGAGGGTTGTGACTCAAATGGATCGTTGAAAGACTGAGTCTAGGACTTGGTTGGTTGAAGACTTGCGGGGAAATAAGTATGCGGGAGGAAGTAGCTCCAGATAATGAGCAGTAGGAGGAAAGTAAAGTATTGGAGCAAGAGGGGAGAAAGATTTCTACTAACTAAACTGCAGGGGCCTATGAGAGTTCAAGCCTTCTTTTCAATTCTATACAGGGAATTTAGTTGTGAGAGAGGTCATCTCGGTCTTTTACTTATTACAAAATTAGAAGCTACAGCAAAAGAGGTTCACTCCACTCAGGCTATCCCGACTGCAAGAATGAAAGAGTAAATCTATCTTAGTCAAGGCGCTCGCTCTGCCACAAAGGGAGGAGCTGGCTAAATAGAAATATAAAAGAGATGTTTCCAATTAAACCATAGATGTCCACTTCATACTTAGAGTATTCGATTTCGGCTTGCTTGGGTTCATTCAAGGCATCTTCATATCTATTAAAGAAATCAATCAGCTCCTAATTAGGTCCCCCAAGGCGAGCGAAGTGACGTTTTTCTTCCCTCCGAAAAAAAAATTTATAGAACCCGATGCATAACAAGAAAAGAAAGAATAGTAGTGGTGCCTGCGCGCAAACAATCTTAGAACTGAGCTCTTGTAAAGGTGGGCGTTCCTACGCTCTAAGCCCATATCTCAGATGCATGCCATGCCCATTGGAATAGCCCATCACCAGGAAGCCTTTTATCCATTTAGCGCAGTTCCCCTTTCCCTCTCTTCTTATATCAACCGAACATCCTAAAAAAAGGAAGGAAGTGCGCATTTAGCTGTGCTTCTAAGGGACGATCGGAGCTCCGGGAAGCTTTTTCGTTGCAGAATCGAAAAACCATGCCGAATTCAGTCGCGGATGCTGGAAGGAAGAGGAAGAGAAACCCTAAGCTCTTCTCCTTCCATTCGTTCTGCGATCCAGATTGCCCCGTTATCTCATCGGAATCCTTCCGAGACAGAATAAGGGTTTTTCTCAGGGAATTTGCAGAGGTGGAGGACTACAATATCCGTTCAATGCCTGTTTGGTGTACTCTTCTGGTTCAAGGGAACAAGGGAGGTCTCTTCGTCCCTCTCTACACCATCGAAGAAGACTGTCAAGCATTCCGATCAGAGCCTTATTGCGATCACTGTAAATGTTGAAAAAGAAGTTTTCGTTCTTGGTTGTCTCGAATTTAGGGTTTTGAGACTACGAATTTCGAAACTCCTGATGTGCTTGTTTCTTGTTCTATAGGTTGGAGCAATCATTTTGTGTATCCAGAAGGAGGTACCACATCATAATTCCGGCAGACGATGAGTGGAAAAAGCCTCTGAATGAAAACGCTTTAGATATTCAGAGCCATCTCCTGCATGGAATGGTCCATTTGAACGGATTCGGTCACTTGCTCGGTATCAATGGGATTGAAGGTGGGTCCAAGCACCTTCATGGGAGAGAGATTATGGATCTTTGGGATCGTATTTGTACTAACCTGCATACTCGGTAAGTTTTGCCCTAAAAAATTGCTAAAACTCGAAGTTAGGTTTTACCCCCAAAAAACGATGCTAGGTTAGTAATTCGATGGAAAATAAACAAATCGGATAGACCTGTTTATCCTTCTTGCGAGAAACCAATTTGGGTTGGCTTGAAATCTGACGATATTTGAGAACTTGGCGGTTTGTTTGGGTTAACCTGATTAATGTTCAGTTTATCTCTTATGATGAGCGATTTTAATGTTGCTTTTGTAGGAAAATCACTCTGTAGGATGAATCACAAAAGAGGTCAATGGATCTTAGGCTATTGTATGGAGTTGCTTATGGTCATTCGTGGTTTGGTAGATGGGGTTACCGCTTTTGCAGTGGGAGCTTTGGCAAGGGATGATGATGGCGAAAGGATGGATGGTGGCTTGTGATGTTTGTGAAATTTGGCAACATACGCGCGTCCGGTGGCTCTATACTTGGCTCCACCGTGCAAGATGGTACGCCCACCCATATTGGGCTTTCATTGAAAGAGGCTCGAGTCTTCATTTGTAGGACTTTCCGCATTTAAAAAATTTCGTATGAGATGCGAGCCTAGCGTTTCAAAGACGGCCGGTTTTTTTGGATCAAGGTGAGCCTTAACGGCTAAATGGCCGCCGCATCTGTCCTGTATGATATGAAAACCTATATAGGCTCTCTTCAAGAAAACGGAAGTAAGAATTCATTTCACTGCTATATATTCTTTCTTCTTTACTAAAGTAAAGAAGAAAGCCTATAAATTTATTTAGGCGAATTGGACGGAAAAAATGACACTGGGGAGTTGGCTTAGAATTTTAAATAGTAGTAAGAAATGAAACAGATCAAAAAGGCTATTTTACGAGAATTCGTTTTGATTGACATAAGACAAAGCGCCGCTAGGATCCTTGGGTCCGACGTCGAAGCACGTCTCTCACAAAGGTTTTGTTGCCGGTCAATTGTCGTAACCGAACGACGGGGGTTTCCAAACCAATCTTACTTCGCCTATCGAATTGGGCTTTGGTCAAGCGATGCCTCTAAACACACATATAAAAAGGTGACTAAATACCTCTTTCTTGAAGTTTCCCCAGAGTACTTCGAGGCCCGGGCATTCCGACCGGCGGAATAGGCATTCATATAATCCATTTAGCCATCTGAGGCACCTCTATTGGATGAGTTGACCTCACCTCTTTCATTCAGATCTGCAGAGACAACTGGAACAGAAGCTGCACTGGAAGAGGTAGCTAAGCCTGCCGAATCTTGGGAATTCAAATCTGTTACCGACCTCCGTTGAAAATAAACCAGCAGCTAACTGCTGAGTAAGAAGGGCAGGGTCGGTACTGTGTAGGTGGAACAAAGTAAGGTCGAGAGTCGCGAGTCAAGAAAGGAATTTTCTTAGCACCAAAGGATTATAAGTTAGAGTTAGACGATGGTTCAGATGTTATGAAGCACAAGGGTGCAGGTAAAGACTACGTCACTGAAGAGTGGTTTGAAGAACAATACAACAAGATCCCTGCTCGGACAGTAACTGGTCGAAAAGCCTCTGCTAAAGATCGTCTTCCTAGCAAAATGACATTCTCCTAACTGAGAGAGTCAAGGGCAGCTCTTACCCTGCCAAGCCAATCTAGATGTCTTACGCATAACACAAGCTAAGCCGCTTCCAGTGAAAGCAGTAGTGAGGTAGCTCAATAAACCTAGCAAACACCGGCTAGATAAGTGGGGCAGGCGCTAACTCAGGGGATTCTTTGTCGATAGAAGGCATTCGCGAAAGTCGCCGATGAAGAGAAGCTTTACTAAAAGAGGGCTTCTCATTATGTGGATACAAAGGCTTCAAGTGGTGCGGTTCCCACAGGAATTGCAAACACCTGAAGAGAGCGGGTCCAACCCGATACGATATCCTTCTTTCTAGGGAAAGAAGTATTCATAGTCCAATCCATTACAGCCCGGCAGTCTAACAGGCGTAGATCACACTGGAACTGGAGTAGTGGAACTAGCACGACGAACAATGCTCGGCACTCTGGTCAAGTGAGCCCCTCTCATTCTCTATAATCCCTATAGTTGCCCTGTATAAGCATTCTTAATATGCCCTCTCAGGCTAATGAAAGCAAAAAAAAGCAGAAGGCCCTTACTACACTAAGCGCTACGAGAGCCCCCTATACGGAAGGAGACTCTATTTGGTCAAAGTCATTTTCCAGAAGAGATCAAGTCGTTTACTTCTTATTTGTGACTCTTGCCAACAATTAGTTCTGTAACTGGCACTTGACTTGAACCGCTTGTCTAAATACTGGAAAAGAGGGAATTGATTCAAGATCCCCTTGTGCCCTACAACCCTCGAGGCTTTGAAGTCCATAGCGCCCGATTCGATCACTCTATCGAGTAGAAGTCCAGGGATGCTTCAATCGATTCTTAACACCTTGAAAACTCCCTTCTTTATTTTTGATGAGAAGGCAAATTTTGAGCTTTCTCGGCTTAACGACTCTTTCTTCGAACCTTTTGGTATGTATTGCCCCCTAACTATAGAAAAAATCCACTGGACGAGAAAGTTAATTCCGCGCTGCTGCTGAGTCGTCGGACTTATCCACCAAGGGATTCGTGGAATTTTTGTGGATTGCGTTGGGGGAAATCTACCAAAGCTAGGCAGATAGATAGACTCCTTTCCCGCCCGCTGCTAAGGAAGAGCAAGAAATAAAATCAAATTCTTGTTTTTTAATTAGCGCCTCCTTTTGGGTATGCAGATACTAAGAGTCCTCTCACTACCAACCAGTAGACATCATCCGGCTGGGTCTTGCCGGTATCAACAACGAGAAAAAAACAACCAAATGAAAACAGCAACTAACTATGGCTCTTGGCCCAGACAACGTCCTAGGCGTAGGGGGGATCGGAGCAAGAGGGAAGGCCTAGACGGACGTTTTTATTCCTGGGCTGCAGTAAGTAGATCGAGAGGTCGTTCCGCCCCTTGTCCCCGAAGATGGGTAATATGTTCTCAAAAAAAGTTGCTCCAATCTGACCTAGCTGGCGAGCGATCCCAGTTCGCGGCAGAGAACAAGACAGCAAGCGAGCGTACCTTTGTTCGCTTCTTCTCCACCAAGCACGAAAGTTTAAGGATAACTGTAGGTCAGTGGTTACCTAAGGAAACTCCGATTCGATCCGCCCCCTAAGGGAGGCATCTCATCCCGATCACAAGGAGAGGTTCACCATGATGGGGGGTACTTCTTTTTTTTCCCTTCCGGAAAGAATGAAATGCATAGGGGACCATCCTTTTGTTGCGGCATGCTCTTCAGATTTACGAATTCGCAGGGGGCGGAACGACCTACTTAGTTGACTGACAATGACAAAGGCTTGCGAAACTAAGTAGGGCCTTTAAAATTGAATCTTTAGTAGTCTATCAGTGGTGCGAAGAGAAACATATCTTTTTATGACTTCTACTTATCGATCCCGGTCCGGAAAAGTGAGCGACCAGGTTTATAAAGACTGGTTCGAAAGGCGCGTCTAGCCCTATTGATGAATAAAAGAAAGGGTTTCTGAGCCCTAGCCTTTGTAAGCCCACACCTGTGTAGAGTAGATCGTTCAACACCTGCGGCACAAACCCATTTTTGACCTATTGGTCCTAGTATCATAGGCGACCGAACGGCCGCCCCCTAATTACTAGACCGACCTGCTATAATAATTCCATAAACACCTAGCGAAGATATGGCAAACAAATAAAGTAGCCCTATGTTCGGATCTGACAATACCATACCATAATCAAAAGGTACAACGGCCCGAGCGACCAGACTTAACATAAATGTAGCCACTGGAGCCATTCTAAAAAGGGAGAAATTAGCACTACTTGGTGAAATAGGTTCTTTTAGAATCAATTTCAAACCATCTGCTAGAGGTTGTAACAATCCGAACGATCCCACTACATCAGGACCCTTTCGACGTTGCACAAAAGCCATTACTTTACGTTCAGCTAGCACTAAAAAGGCTACTCCTAGTAGAAGTGGTAGAATTATTCCAAGTATTTCAGCTGGAACTGCTATGTACGTTTTCGATTTTCTATTCATTCATGATCTGGCCTGGTCGAGTCGACCCAATCATGATATTGAAGGATGGGACCTTTTCTCGAAAAACTCCCGATACCGAGAAGAGTTGAAGATGGTGCAACATTGAATCCTCTTACCTTACTTCGAATGGAATCTTAGCCCGCCTCACTTGCTTTCTTTACTGCATAAGGGCATAAACAAAGTCAAGGGATTGATGAAATTACTCGACTAAAAAGAGAGGTATTTATTACTCGAGCACTTGTTGCGAGAGGTCCAAGGTAATTTCTTACTCTTATAAAAGAGGGAACTCGACTGAAAGGGGAGGAGAAAAAGAAGCCTCCATAGGGGGTGCGACTCCTATGACTACTCAATCGATTAGCATAAACTAAAGGAAGAGGTGGGATTTCAAGGGTTAGCCGAGGAATTCAGTGAAGTTTCTCAATCTACAATCCTAGCCCCCCTAGCAGGTAACCATTCTCTACTCACTTCTTGGGGCACTTGGTACTAAAATCCCACTCGGGGAAGGAATCGAAAGATAGTGAATGAGAAAACAAGTGAGGGTAGTGAGACTTCAAATCTTCGAGTAGAATCGGTTTGTTTGCAAATGCCCAAGCTGTGGCACTGATGACTTTGTTACCTTTTCCCGATTCTTTGAATATTGATTATGCCTTTTTCCTTTCCATCTCCCTTTCCTTTCCATAAATGATTTATTTGCAATTGGGTAGTAAAAGTGACTTGTTTCCAAAGATAGGGATAGGGGTCGCAAGGAATAAGTCGTTTTCTCAGGATCAGGTCCCTTCCCCCTTTATTTGCAGAAGTGTAGTACCTGTCTAATGCGGTAACTGATCTCATATCTCACATCTCGATCTCTCTCAATGGAAGCTATCTTGCTCAGTTTAGGGCGTAGGTAGGGGGATGCACTCATTGCTGCTCTCCGGACCTTAACTTAAAAGAAGGTAGCTCAAGCAGAATCCGAATCGGCTAGCTCTCATTTATTATATGGTGGAAAACAGCCTGTAAGGCATTCTTCCTTGTGATTCATCTCGCGTCCTATGTACACACGTACTTGTCTCGTTTCGAGTGCTAGGACCAAACAAATCCGAAGAATTCTACCAATAAGATCTTAACCAGCCATTGAGTAGTAGCTCTTGTTTATTCAACGGATCGACCAGAGAGGCCATTCTGCAACCTGAAAAGCCTTATTTTATTCTTTCTACCTATTCTATGCGTGCGTCTCGATAATCTTTTAGAAGAGCTTCCATGCCTATCTTATAGGTCCCAATTCAACTGCACCCGCTATAGCATTTCAAATAAGTGGTTATTGAGTTCACGGAACACAAACAGAATCTGAAAGTTCAGATAGCAAGACAGTGAACAGTTATCAGTGTGACCATGAAGCTGGGTGAGAGTGTGTAGCGAGGGATATTGCGATTGGCCGAAGACTAAAGCGAAGAGTGAATGAGAAGATCCTAAAGAGTGACTCAGGACCGGACGTTAGAGTTGTGGTGTGAGAAAGCAGATATGCGCCAATGGCTGGAAGGTGGCTACACGCCTCAAAAAAGAGATTGACTGGGCAAGGAAGTCGAATCTCGGAGTTAGTTCAAGCTTTCAGAGCGGTAGTAAGAAAGACAAGAGAAAGGTAAGATGCCGTGGTGATCTAAGCCGTCAACGAGCAATTTGTCTCAGTTGAATCCAAAGAAAGAGGGCGAAGAAACTCATTAATTCATTGATGAGGGCTAGGCCCGAGAGAAAATCAATATGAAAGGGAAGGAGATATTCAGGTGGGTCGAATCCATAAGGTCATGATCGAGTTAAGCTTGCGCTTACGTTTTACAGCATTGAGAACTTTGAATCATCCTCCACAACCCTAACCTCACAATCCAATCTTTTCTAATTCTCTTTTTAGCTGTGATTTGAATGTCTTTGTCTTCAACCTCCCTGGTTTCGACATGGGTTCAAAACTCCCGGTTAAGATCAAAAGTAGGAGCTAATTCGTCTATCACAGGTAGTAGCTCACCCGCCTCTCTTTCTCAAGTGAGACAAAGGCATTCAAGATGGACTGCTAAAAGACAGATCTTACCTTTACTTTACATCGCATTTATTCTTTCAGAACCTTACTATCTATTGAGCTTGAACTACTAAATCTCTATTATTACATACCAGGGTTTACTACAGTTTCACTGCCCTGAAGGGAGCTAGCCCTGCTTCTTCTTCAGTGTTTGCTAACTGCTTCTGTGCTTAATCCCGCATGATAAGAGGAGGTTTCTGAAACGGACACGGACTCAAAACTCCCTGAGTCTATACCTGGTGAACTCCCTGGGGCTGAGAAGAAAGCTTATAATTCGAT